AAAGGGATAATAAGAAACGCCTTTCGGATCCTGGCTTGACTTCAGCAACAGCAGCAGCAGCAGCAGTGAAAACTTTTCAATTTATTGTTAAACTTTTGCACTGAGGCGCACAATTATAAAGTGTCATTTAGTGCCGAAGGAGGATGGCAAAGGACGAAAGGACGAAGGACGAGGGATGAGGACACAGGACCGGTACTGACAAGGAATTATGAAGTGTGCTGGACGCCCACCGACCGCTGACACTTGCGGCAGGCCACTTCCGGTGGTGGCTCGGGATAAAAAGGGGAGCAGGACGACATTGTCCTTGTTGTCATCATCGTCCTCGTCATCCTCAACGACCTCGTCGTCGTCGTCGCCGTTGGACATTTTTGGCTGCTCCTGGCCTCCCTGTCCCCCGAAAACTTGCCACTCAAGTGCAAGCCAGTTTCATGCGGCGCATTCAAGAGCTGTTGTCGCTCCTTGTTGCCGGCAAAGTGTCACAAACACAAATAGAGAACGCTTCGGCTTCGGCTCCAACTCTGGCCCTAGCCTTTGCCTCCTCTCTGACTCTCGCCGGGATTCCCCGCTCTAGCTCCTGCTCCTTCTGCTCCTTCTGCTGCTGTGTGATTTACAGCGTGCGACTTTTATTTGAAGTGGGACATTCATTTTACGCTAAAGTGAACCTAAATCAACACCATTGCACAAACACAGGCCGAGGAAGGCAGCCGCCCTCGAAATTGTCATCTCCTGGCTATGCCTTGGAATTGTAATTACTCGAAAGATGGGATTCATTTCATAAATGGATTGCAATCATCAAGGGATTTTTATATAGAATTTTCTATTCAGCGATTGAAATTAATATTTATTTGATTAAAGAACTTCTGATTTCTGAGAAACCAAGGAAAACCTTTAATTGAAAATAAAAATATCAGAGATAGAAACCGGAAATGAAAGGTTTAACATAGTTTCAATCCAGCTGCCTTCCTGTTTATTTCCAATAAAATATTTTAATACTCTAAAAATCCCAAAAGTTATTATCCATCCCCCTTCATGATCATTCCAACAGCTAGATTTATTGGACATTTTTTGGGCAGCCGCGTTTCTTTTTGAACTCTAAAGCTGGGAGCTCTCTTGTGGCTGGGCGGCGCTTGATTGAAATGCCTGGTAGCGAACTTGGGTTCCTCATCGTCCTGGAGCCAAGCTGCTCTGCACTTAAGTTGGCTTAATTAGTTTTTGAAAGTTATGCCAACGCCGGCGCCTGGGCCGCAGCCACGCCCACTTAATGCATTTGGCTTTTCCACTGCCTCCACCATTGGCCTCAAGTCAGAGCTTTGGCAAAAACTGAGAAACTGCACAAAAAAAAAAAGAAAAGTAAAGGAAAAACGAATGAAAGGCATAGGGCAACTCTGCATTGGCGTCTTGGGCCTGGCAACCACAACAGAAGCATCCGGCCAAAAGACTGATGGGTGGGCAGAAGGGGTCCGGGTTCCACTTTTGACACGAAATTCCTGGTCTTCAGTCTCGCTGCTCGTCAGCAGGCTATCATCCAGTGGTTACAGGGTACAAAGGCGTTATGATTTATTTATGTTTTTTCAGCTTTCATTTCCCTATCCCTATTTTATTCAGCCATAATTTTTAAAGACTTTATAAATAAATTTCAATATGCGAAGATACATATTTATACTCGTTCAATATATTTATATCTTCCTCTTAAATTTATGTAAGTTATTTTGAAACTTTAATTCAATAATATATTCTATTTTATATCCTTGCAGGCTATCAAGAATTCGTTTTTCTCTTCATATTCAATTTTATTTTATTTGTTTGTTGTTTCTCAGGCATTTTTTTTGGTCGCACATATTTCTCACTGCCACTGCAGTTTTGCTCTGCAATTTTCACTTCTTATACCAAAAGTTTTTTATTTTATTTTTATTTTCTTGTTGTTGTCCATATTTAATTATGGAAATTTTGCAGCTCGCCCAAAACTTGCATAAATATTGAGTGCCAGCTGAGGGGAGTTGGCTTTATAATGAAGTTTGATTGCCCTGCGACTGTGGCAGAAAATTGCATTCGCTGGTACAAAAAGAAAAGACTGTGGAAAAGTGTCAATCAAATGAGAGAAGATTAAATACAGTCTTCAGATTTTAACATTATTACTCTTATGAATGTTATATAGGAAAAGTTGAGTTTGGGTGGATAATATTACATAAAGATAATCCACAATGAGAGAGCTCATAAGCAGCCTTGACATTTCTACAGAATAATGCAGAAATAATCAAGAGCTTTAATTTAAACTAATTATATTTGTTCAAGTGTTCAATAAAAAATGTACAATACAATTCGTTTAACATTTTTTTTTTGGATCAGATAACCAAACAATATATGTATTTTGCTTTTGTTTGAAATTGAATAATTTGTTGTAAAAACTGGTATTGCCAATATAGTCGTACAGATAAGTAGTAATTTGGCCAGGAAACTAATTTGTCCGTAGCCCACATATCTGTATTATGTTCTCACTCGCAACGAAACCAAAATGCTTTTATGCCCCATGTGGCATGCGACAGCAACGGGAGCTACTGCTGCTGCACACACATTCATTTCCAATGAGACTCATTTTGCGGTGACACACGACACTCGCCACGCAGCCGAAATCCAACCCATCTCCACCCACAATCCTGGCTGATCCTGGCCAGAGTGGCTTTCCGGCTCTTTTACAGCTGAGCGGTTACACACAGACACAGTGGGAAGTGTGTGCCACAACCGCAGGCAGCCGGCAGCGGCAGAGGGGAAAGGAGATGGAGATCCAAGCAGAACTGGATTGAAGAACCGGACTAGAGGACCAGAAATTAACTTTACTACTGACACCTTGACAATATTTTCAACGACAGCAGCTGGCAGACATTAAATAGGCAACCGCAATTTTATGCCAGCACCCAGGACTCTGGATAGTGGATACCGAACACTGAATCCTGGCTAGTGGATGACTGGTGGGCACATGACATTTGACATTGCGTGCATTGCATAAGCTTAGAGACACGAAACGAAGGGCTGTGCTGACATTACCACCGAAAGTGGCATCGGCTCGATGTTGATTTTGGCAGGCAGTGCGCTGAATTTTCAATTTTATTTGCAATTTCTGTGTTTTTTTCTGCTGAGACAGCATTGTCAAGCCGAGGCGAGGCGAGGCGAGATTGCCGCTGCAGCAGAGAGCCAAGTGTCAAAGGTGTCGACGTGGCAGTCGAATGGCCGCTGGAACGTGCCTATGTCAAATGTGGTTAAGGGATTTAACAAGTATATTTTCTACGATCTATATACATATTTCACAAATGTCACCCTTAATAAGCTTTTCTGAGCAACTAATTCAAATTTAACAGGAAACTGGCCTGTGTATATTTTGTAGCATACATTTAAGGGCAAATACTTGTACTAACAAATGACACCAAATCTATTCAAGAAATCATATTATAATAAAGGTATAATACAATTGAATTTAATATAAATAAAGGATTAACGTATATCTTGACTTTTAAATATATTGTTAAATATATTTTAATAGCTTTATTTTATATAAATTGATAAGCCATCTCGCTTTCCCTGATTTCTTTTTCGGACCATATATTGGCCATATTCCACATATAGCTGGCCATTGGCAAAGAAATTATGTTAGTGATGACATCAAGTGAAAAATGATTCGAATATTCAGTTTTCAAGAGCAGCTGCATCCCCGGATGCCTTCATAAACGGACGGATGCCAAGTGGCAGGATAAGGATAAAGCGAATGGTGGTGGAGTCGGATCAGAGTGATTTTCTGAAGGCAAAGCCGAACAAGCTGCCTTCTTTCGCTGCTCATTCATTATGCCAATGCAGACGCTGGATGAAAGCTCTTAAAGTATTACGCAATAAGTTAACTTTTTCCAATATAAGAGGAGGCAGTGCCAGCAGCAGTTGGCAGTTGCCAGTTTTACCAACTTGCCTGTTGCTCGACTGCATCAAAGATGCAGCATATTTATTTTGGCCAGGCACAAATTTTTTTTTGTGCACTTTGGGTAAAGAAAGGTTTCACTGCTATGAAAACACTAGGAAAAATAAGGCAGTTTTCTAATTTATTATTTACATTTAGTCAAGATAAAATATGATTTTACAAGATAATTAAGAATATGATTAATAATCAAATAATATTTAAGAACGCTTTATAGAGATACAAATTGGGAGCTTGAAATAAAATAGTTTTCGTCAAGTGAGAGACCCGTCTTGTGTCTTCTCTGCATAAGTGATTGCCGGCAACGTGGCGTATGTGTAATTTGTCGTAGCAAATGCCACTGGAGCACAGCTGCTCCCCAACTTTGTTACACTGCAGACGAAAGGAGGACGAAAACTGCATTAAATGCACATTTGTTACGCAGCCCGAATTCTCTATGCTATCCGCCCAATCTCTATCCACTCTGTCGCAGGACACACCTGGGCCAAAAGGATATATCCTCTGCCGCAATTCGGCAAAAATTCGTTTCTCATCGTCCCGTTCGTAAATTGGCAATTTATTTCAATGCCTGCAACGTCAATGGTCTAAACATTTTGTGGCAAATTCCCTTTTTATCGAATGCATCACAAAGCGACAGTTTTACACATGGCAAGGCAGCTGTGAAAGACGATCAACTGAAGCATATTCTGGCAATGCTGGCAAACTAATTTGAATTTTGCAGCTCTTATTCGGTTTTAATTTAACTTAATTTCGTTACAGGTTTTTGGGAAATCAATTTGATTGATGAAAGTACATGTCGTCGAGGTTAGCAAATGGTAATTTAATGGCTCTCATTAAAGGGGTTTATTTGATTTTGGGGAGATCTATTTAAGTTAATAAAATAATAAGGGAATTAAAGCTTGTTTGAGGGTTAATATAAATTTATAAATTAAATTTGTTTAATTAATTTGAATATAGCCTTTAATTCTTTATTCTCTACAACAACTTGTTTATCTTAAACACATACTTTTCCATAAACTTTCAACGAGAAATCGTTAATTTCTTTGCCAGTTTTCACTTTAATTTGGTTTTGACTAGAATATTTACCCAGAATTTTGTGAAAAGTGTTCCCTGGGAAACATAAACATAGAAGCAACGAATTTGCCCGTGGCTTGAGCTAAAACAAAACAATGCATTTTCATTTTGAAACCAGGAGCGTGGTCAAAGCTTTGCTCCTGCTCCACACTATACCACATTGCCTGGGGCGCAGCTCATTATCCGCACGTACTGTTCGAGGGATGTGCGAGATGTGTACTTGGCATCCGCATCCGGATCCGCATCCTCATCCACATCTACATCCCCATTTCGTGGGTTAGCCTGGAATAATGTGGATGCATTAGTCATATCAGACACACGTATCGGCGTTCGTATCCCTTGTATGTATGTGTATGTGGTTCCTGAGGGCGTTAAACTCGAGTATAATGAAGATACGCACGCGTAAAACAAAAACCTTAAAACGCGAGTCTAATTAAGAGAAAAAAAAACCCCCTCTTTTGATATGTTTCCATAGAACGGAGAATGGGGAATTTTTGCCAAAGGCTGATCTGACAAAACATTTGAGAATGAATGAAAGGCAATTTAAAATAAACAGGGTTAAGCTTTTCAGAGCAAGTAAATTCCGAATAGATATATAAATAGATGTACTCATAAAGTGTACTAAATTTTTTACATAAACCTCTGGGATAGAATTACTGGCAACAAGAGAAACTTAAGCCTGGCCTTAAGACCAAAGGCCAAGTTGACAATTATTTAAAGTAACACCCAGTAATCGCTAAACTTCACGGTCTCAGCGCAACTTGTCTTGTAATTTTTATTAATTTTACACCATTGGAGGCTAAAAAGTTTTAACATCTTTTCGGGTTTTCTTTCATTTTCTTTTAGTTTTTTTTTTTTTGTTTTGTCAGGCTTAGCGGCTGCTTACAACCGCTTTGGCTTGTCCTTTGGGGAGGATTCTTTTTTTTATTTTTTGGGAGGGGATGTGGCAGAAGGCATAAGAAATTATAATAAAAAACTTTGAACTTTTTGTTTTCCTTTTTTTGTTGCCGAAGAAGAAACATAAAAATTGTTCTTTTTACTTTTGTGTTCCACTTAAACGGAAGCGGCGGGCTGGGGTCCATTGTGGATTTCCGTTTTAATTAGTCGGCGAGCACCGGAATCTCAATCCGAATCTGGATCCGATTCCAAGACGGAATCTGCATTGCAGACAATGCCTCAGGAGCCAGGAGAGGGGAGGTTGAGTGCCAGGAAGTTGGAAAGAGCAAAAGTTACCATTGCCATTGCCATAACTGTGAAATGTGCGTTGACAAAAAGTTACGGGAGATGGGAGTGGGGAGGTCCTGTAAAGGACCTTGGCTTATCTGGCGTCTTCGCTGAGTTTTCTTGCACTTGTGTGAATGTACACTGAGAAATCTTACTCTATTTATACTAAAAAATTAAAGTAATTTTTGATATACCTTTAAATAATATAAATATTTAACTTTCCAAGATTGCTGCGTTAAAATGTAGAAATTAAATCTGCTAAGTAAATACAGCCTTTTCAAAGCATGTTCAATTTGTTTCCCATATAAGACAAATATTTATTTAATTTAAAAACCAATTTTATTCTTAGTGTATGGGGCGGTATTGTCTATGTGGGGCGTGACTGGGATGAAAGTCAAGTGATGTGCATAATTTAAATGAAAATGTCAACGCGGCTTTCGCCAGCCCATTGCAATCTACTTTGCGCTTTCCTTCTTTTCATCGGTCTGCAGTTTTCATTTCCACCGAGTGCACCGTGCATGTGTGTGCACTGCTACTTTATATATATATATGTATTTATAAAAATATATGTGTGTGTGTTTGTGTGGAAGAGTGCCGGAAGCAGGACAAAAGTCTGGTAGCTGCAGGAGGCCAAAAAAAAGGAAGAGCGAGGAGGATAAGCCCGAAAAGTGCACTGCGGTTGCCTTAAATTGAGTTAAATGGAGCGAGAGATAAGAAATGAGGCGAGGACACAAGAAAACCCAGAGAAATGGAATCAATATTAACTTGATTAACTAATTGGAAAAAGAGGGAATATTATAATCAAATGCAGCAGGTAAAGAAATTACTATTTCAGAGTGTCAAAGCAAAACCTAATTCACTTTGGGAAGCAAAATGAAGTTAAACTAAACGTAAATGTGAGAAATTATTGAAATTGAATTTAATTTTATAGCTTACCAAACAAATATATTTAATATTAACTCAATAAACAAGAGGTACTTAAAATACTTTAACAAAGTTAACTAAAGTTGATTAGCTTCTATTAGATTAGTTACTCCTACATCTTAAATTCCTTACCTTTAATAATTCTTAAATCTGACTTAAAATTCCTTGATATTATTATGCTAAAGTTCCTGATTTCCTGCAAATATTTTCGTAACATTCTTTCAACCATAACTTCGACCAGCGCCAATCAAATGAATAAATTTGGATATATAAATAAAGGAAAACCATTGGCGAGTGTCGAGTGGAAATGTGGTGGTTAAACGGAGAGATGAACTTTTTAAAATTGCGTTAAATGTTGATCCATGGAAAAACGAATTGACGCCCCAGTCAACGGGCAGAAAATATTTAACGCCGTTTTTATTTATGACATAAATACGGCCCCAGCATATTTCATGGCCCGTCCGAGCGCGAACAAACTGATAGATACAATGCATTTTTCGAGTCCAGCTCTTGCCAAGGATTTTCCTCCTGCAATCAGGCCTCCTCCCAAGGGGGCGTGGCAGTGGGAGGAAGGACATACAGGCGTTGTCGAGTATGCATTTGATGGCCGCCTGTCAATGCCAAACAACAAAAGCGCACAGGATGGGCAGATTGAGGTGGCTGGAAGCCAAAAGAAAAATGCTGAAAAATGTACACGGCTTCGATGGTTGAGCAAAAACGGCCAGATAAATTTATATGCAACCCACACACACACACACAAATACAAAAGAGGGGAGCTCACAGATACACACACCCACACACACACACACACGGACAGGCGTAAGCCCACATAAAGCACTCAGGGAGCAGAACGGGCCAGCATTTAACAATTTATCTGCAGCTGTCAAAATTAAAACCCCATACGGCTCCACAGCTGGGCGAGCTTCAAAGCCATAACCATTGCAAAGGACATGGTTGCAGGGGAAAAGGGGTTCTGTCCTGGAACCAGAGGCGCTTCAGTTTGGTGCGAGGGGGGGAGGGGATAGGGGATGTGCCGGTGCAGCGAGCCACGACGAGTCAATACCCGTGGCAATCCGTGGGCAGCAATAGTCCAGGACACTAAGGACACTTGGAGAAATGGTGTATACAATATGTATGTTACTTAAAAGTTAAATAAACCTTAATTTTTTTAGGTTTTAATATTATTTTCTAGGGTATTGTAATTTTAATCAAAAGCTTGTAACTCAGTGAAGAAGTCCGGCATAAATGTAATTTTTTCAAAAATTTGAAAATTTTATAAGGGGTTACATTGTTAAAATTGTAAAAATTTCAATATTTGTAAATTATTTATTGAGTAAGCAGATTTATTAAGTTTATCAAAACTAGCATCGAAATGATTTCCGCATTAAAATTAATGCTTTTTGACTTAGTTATAAGGCTTTTAAGATTGATTTATCAACAAAATTTATTTATTTTGATTTTAAATATATCTTGGATTTAATGTTTGTATTTTTGTTTAATGAATATTTCTTATCAAAAGTTAGCAAGTAATAAACTGATCCCAAGAGCCCTGTGGCCTTTTAAATCTTTGTTTAAAAAGGAAATGGAATTCCAAGCTGCCTAAGAAATTCCTGTGGTTTATATTGATTGTTATTTTTAAGCAACTTACTTTGTAAATATTTAAATGTATAAATAATATTATCACTAGCTTGCTGAATTTCTTTTTTAAGTGCACTCAAAAGTCAGCTGCAGGCGGCATTGGATTTGAAAAAAAGAGAAAAAATAAATATAGGGGAACAGAAAAGAATCGTGGGGCAGAAATGGAAAAAGAAAGACGCGGAGGCAAGAAAAGTGCAGCACGGCCCAAGGGGGTCACACAATAATGCCGGTCACAGGATAAGCCACACACACACACACACACAGACACAGACACAGAAAAAGGGACACACACACAGACAAGCAAACAGCGAAGCAGACAAACAGACAGTCAATAGCAATGGCTGACTGTAAAAAACGGAAATGGGGCAATCATAAATTTACACAGATATGCAAGTGCCCTGGCCCCGGTTTGCGTGTGTCTCAGTGTGAGTTAGTGCATCCCCCATCCTTTTATATCCTTATACCAGCCCACAGCAACTTCAAACCGCCACAAACAGGATCAAGAAAGGTACTCACTAGCCGAAGGAATGAGTCCTCTAACCAATCGGGACATTTATATTTATTTTAAATTTATTTATTTAATGGACACTATAAAAGTTGAATGAAAATAAGGCAATTGTTTATTTAAAACGTATATTCAAATTAGTTATGTTTTCTAATTGAATAAATGATAAATACATTAGAATGAGCATGAAATATTGAAAAACTTATTTAAAAGTTAAACTATTCCTTTGCTTGTTTTATTTTCTTTTCATTAATTTCCCAAATTTAATAAAACCAAACTGAAAATTCAACTGAAAATGCATCTCAACGTAGTATTCAAGTATCCTATTGCATTGAAATTGCAATTATTTCACGAATTCATCTCGAATGCCAAGTTTTGGAATCTCCTACAATTCAACTGCCAAATGGCTAACGTTTCTCTGTGTATGAGAGGTCCTGTGGATTTCGGCTATGTATATGTGTTAGTCTCTGGGTGGTCTTGAGGGTGGCAGAGTCCTGGAAAAGACTTCGATTTAATGCGAATGCGATGCGTTGTCCGATGGCTGCCCCCTGAATGGATTTGCCTTCGCCGGACTCCCCTCATGCATTTCCCTTTGGCTTTTGTACCCAGCCTCTCAGCCTCGGGATGTTCTTCCTCTCGTGCTGTTGAATTTCTCTCCCCCCGCTCAAAGCATCCATCCATCCATTATTTTTTTCTCTCTGCGTTCGCTGAGCTGAGATTTGTGGTGCGGTGCAAATAGATTTCTAGCGCAGAACATAAATAATACTCACACAGGCACACAGGCACAGGCGATGCCCTTTCAAATGCGAGTGCGTTTGTGTGTGTGTCTGCCAGTTGATCCTCTTCTTTTGGTTCACATAAAAAAAAAAACTAAGAACAAGTAAGGATTCTATGGTTTAGTGACCGACTATAGGAGCACCCTATTATTCAGTTCTTTCTGACGCTAAAAATAGTTGTATTAAAAAGACAGAAGGGAGCTCCTTAGTTATGGAAAAATTTGCTGGTCTTTTCTTAATTTTTGGTATATAAACCGAAAGTTAATTTAAAGTTAAAATGGTATTCAAAAGTAGGTTAAAATTTGCTAATTTTTTCTTGACAATATACTATCTGAAATTATCTTAAAGTTTGGCACTTTAAAATAAGTTTAAGATCCAAACTAAATGCTCTATTTTTTTTGAAATCCAATTCCTCTCCTAATAATAGTTATGAAACCATAAAATTACTTTAAAATTGTCTTAATAAAATGCAAAATTTTCTTGAATATACCCTAAAAATATACCACGTACCCAGTACAAAAACGAAATGTCAAAAAAAGGGACAAGAAATGGAAAATTCTGAAACCGAAATCAAAGTGTTTGCGTTTGTGAAAATCGCACACAAAAAGGAGGGCGGGGCGTGGCGGAGTTGGTTTGCCTGGCTTTGCATGCAAATTTTGCCAGAACGCTGGCAAAACGTTTGACATTTGCCATTTTCCCCTCAGCTAGATAATGTGGCCTTTATGGGTCCCAGTGCCTCCTTCGCCGGCAAAGATGTCTATGCTTTTTGCTGGGCCATCCTGTCGCATATTTTTGCATTGGCCTGGCATAATGATGGGCACCCTGCCTGTTTCTGCATCCTGCCAGCAGTTTGATTTGCATTTGCATTTGCCCATCGCCTGTCCACATTCTTGTCTTGCCTTTTCCTCCTTTTCATAGTTTTCTCTGTACGGTAAGGTAAGGTATTTATGCAGCCCGGCATTCCGGGCACGTCCTCCTAAGGACTACATTTTGGGCTTCATTAGTGACTTGGTCCAGGTGTAATTAGTACACGAACCGTACTCATATTTGTTTGGCTTCAGGATTCTTTCACGGATGCTGAGCTCCCCCCCTGAAACCGAGATGGGTCCTTGCATTCCTTTTTTTGATTTTCTGGGCTCAGGAATGGCTATTAACAATGATGGTGGACAACTAAGATTAGTTCAAAGGACTTTTTTGGAGACTGTGTACTTTTTACTTAAATTTTTAGAAACAAAAATGATAGTTTACATAAAATCGATATGGATCAAAAGGGGAATTAATAACTAATATCTCTAGAGAAATTGGACCCTTAAATAATTAGATATTTGACAATTCAGTATGAAGTTATTCTTATTTTTATTTATTTATGTGTTTATTGCATATATTTTCACTGAAATCTACACTAAATGGAA